GCGATTTCAGTTGGGCTTTATAGCGGGATTTGAATGAGACGGGTATTTGGGTGTTGCATGATTTGTTGCACATTGGATATGTTCCTTCGGACTGGTGTGGCATTGCACCATTGCTTCTCCATGGTTATGGTGATTCACTTTTGGGTGCTAGGCATCAAATTGGCTTGGTGGATGATTTTGCGCATGGTGACTTGAGGTGTTTCATGCGGACCAGTGTTTGCATAGGGTCACGCATTTCAGCGAAGTTATGTGGAGGTATGATCCTTCGGGCTAGATTCGTGTGTTCTGTTTCTACAAGGTGCGACGGGCTCGCAATATTTGGTGTGGTGGTACTGGTGAGCTTGTGGTACAACTCTCTCATTTGAGTCATTTTCATGATTTGAGTACGTTCAGATTGTTGCTTATTAGTGCGCGGATTGCACTAGTTGTGGCATTAGATTGTATTGGTGTGTCATGTCACCAGAGTAGTTGTGTTAGAATTAGATGAGATTGTTGGGATCTAGAGTGAATACAAACGGATTCGGTTTCAGCGTGTTGGAGGGATAATATTGATGTTCGGCTCAGAAATTTGCTATGGTCCTTGCTAAAGGAGAAGTGGCTTTACGAATGGTTGATCTGAGGAGTGGTTATGACTTCCTATGTATTTCATTTATCATTGGCAGTATACAGAAGTGTTGTAATGAGGCTTTATTTGATAAAAGGCTTATTATCGAAATTCGAATGTTTTGAGCAACTGTTGTGATTAGCAGTTATCGCTACAAGTGCTTGAGTTATGTGGTATGTCATGTAATTGCACCTGAGGTTGCAGGCATGGGTTATTACAGCTTGTTCGAGCTTATTCAGATTATAAATGTGAGATTTTAATCTTGTAGATGATTTTAGGAGTGAAAATGTGATTCTATGGCTTATGGGCTAGATTGGGTTGTGAAATTTCAGTTGTAATGTGTTATCGGACCTATATGAGATAGGGTGACGTGGGATCACCCCCGGGTATATGCATGATGAGGTTATTCAACGATTGGTTGGCTTTTAGAACAACTCTGGGCACGTTCGCGGACGAACGTATGTTTAAGTGGGGGAGGATATAACGACCCGACCGGTCGTTTTGAGCTTTTGCACTTGGATTGCCAGTTCTCGGGCATGACTTGCCCCGTGATGTATCTTGACTTATGTAAATCGTTGGTTTTGGTTTTCAGGGAAATCGGAATAAATTTGGAAGAACAGTCCTCAGTTTGAAACTTGAAATTTAAAAGGTTTGACCAAGATTTGACTTGTTTGTATATGATCTCGGATTGGAATTTTTATGGTTTGGTTAGCTCCGTTAGGTGATTTGGGACTTAGGAGCGTGATCGGAATGCATTTTGGAAGTCCATGGAAGGTTTAGGCTTGAATTGGCAAAATTTAGATTTCGGCGTTTTCCGGTTGAAGGGTGAGATTTTAATATAGAGGTCGGAATGAAATCCCGACCGTTGCAGTAGCACTGTTGTGTCATTTTGGGACGTGTGTGCAAAATTTCAGGTCATTCGGACGTGGTTTGGTTGGATTTTTGATCAAAAGTGGAAATTGAAAGATTTTTGAAAGTTTGGTTTAAATCCGATGTGTTTTGGGTGATTCGATGTTGTTTTGAGCGTTCCGAAGGTTGGAACAAGTTTGAATAAGGTTATGGGATATGTTGGCATGCTTAGTTGAGGTCCCGAGGGCCTCGGGTGAGTTTTGGGTGGTCAATCAGACCATTTCTTGTGTTGAAAAGTTGCAGAAAAACTGCTGAAGGATTTTAGGAAAATTGACCTTCGCGTTCGCGAGTAGGCCCTCGCGTTCGCGAAGGGTTAACTGGTGAGGTTGAGGATTTGGCCTTCGCGATCGCGATGAAGACTCCGCGTTCGCGAAGGGTTGGAATCTCGTTCATCGCGTTCGCGAGGTCCATGTCGCGTTCGCATAGAAGGAAGTGGTCAGCTGGGTTTGAAGTCAAGTTATTCATCGCGTTCGCGAGTATTGGGCCGCGTTCGCGTAGTTCAGTGTCCAGTGTGTATCTCGTTCGCGAGGCTGGTGCCGCGAACGCATAGAGAAATTTTTGATGGCTGGTGTTTTGTTCATCGCGAACGCAATGATCATCCCGCGTTCGCGAAGAAGGCTTTTAAAGCCTGGGCAGAATGTTTTTATAGCCCTTGTCTGCGACTTTTGGTCTATTTTCCCCATTGTTGAGCAATTTTTGGAGCTTTTGTGAAGGATTTGAAGAGGGAATCGAAGGGAATCACTTGGAGGTAAGATTTTTGAACTCAATACTCGATTCTTGTGTGAATTCCACCTAATTAATCATGGAATTAAGCCTAAAATTTAAGAGCTAGGGCTTGGAAATTGGAAACCAAACATTTGGGATTTGAAGGGCCATTTATGGATGGATTTTGATGTTCTTGCTATGTATGAACTCGTGGGGAGATAAGGAATTCGTTTATGTGAAAATTTTTGAATTCCGAGACGTGGGCCCGGGGGCCGGGTTTGAGCAATTTCGGGATTTTGATGCTAAATTGGATATTTCGAGTGGGCTTCGTTCCCTTAGCATATTTTCATGATTATGCACTGATTGTGGCTAGGTTTGGAGAATCCGGAGGTCGATTCGCGTGGGCGAGGCATTGTGGGCTAGAGTTTGGACCGGGTTGAGGTAAGAAATGATTGTAAATACGGTCCTGAGGTTTTGAAACCCCGGATTACACATTGTGGTGTTACTTTGAGGTGGCGCACACGCTAGATGACGAGCGTGGAGTTGTGCACCGTTGGGGATTGTGACTTGGTCCGTCTCGTACGACTGTTAAGTCGCGTATTTGATTTGAAACCTTCCATGTTCCAGAGATTGATATTATATTTTGGGTTGTATGCCACGTTTGGGGCCTTGTGCCGATCTATTGAGACCCTTAGGGGCATTTTTACTATTTTTCCTCACTCTATTTGTTTTGAAAGCATATCCTCAGTCATGTGTTACCTGTTTATTGTTTAAATCTGGCTTTATCACTTTATTTCTTAAAAAATGTGAAAACTATTTGGGTTGAGTTCCCTGTTTTACTGATGGTCCGAGTGATCGTGAGGTTGATGGTTGAGATAGAGCGAGAGTCTGATTGTGAGGTTAATGACTGAGAGAGGCCGAGGGCCTGGTTATGAGGATTATATATCTATGGATCGGGCTGCACACCGCAGCAATATATTTATATATACGTATGTGGATCGGGTTGCACCCCGCAGCGATATGTTGGATCGGGCTGCACGCCGCAGTGATATAGCGCTTGGGCTGTAGGAGCCCCTCCGGAGTCTGTACACCCCCAGTGAGCGCAGTCGACTATATATATGGATCGAGCTGCACGCTGCAGCGATGTATGGATCGGGTTGCACGCCGAAGCGGTTACTATATGGTACCTATTGAGCGTGAGTGCTGAGTGTGAGCGCTGATTGGTAGGAGTTGAGTCACAAGTGACTAAGAGGCTAGCCCGAGGGGCGATAGATATATACATGCACATGAATGATGTTTGCCTGAGGGGCCTGATTATGAACTTATTGATTTTCACCGCTCTTTAGAGTGAGTTTCTATCGAATATGTTGATTTAATGACAGTTTTCACTCATCTTTATACTGAGCTTCTGTCGAAAATGTTAGATAAATGTTTTTAACAACTTTCATTTAACCTGGGGTTTATGAGATGTTCAGAACTTAATCACTGATTTGGCTTTTTTTTTGTTATTTCCACTGAGATTTTCTTGTTAGGAGGTGTTTATGACTCCTGTTTTGCCCGAGGGGCTGTTTGCGAACTATGTTTTGCCCGAGGGGCCGATTATGGTTTTCAGCTCTTTTATTAAAAATGGTATTGAACCCCTACTGAATCTGTCGGAAGGCATTTTAAATGATTTTTACCAAAAGTTGGATTTTAAAGGAGGCGATTGACTCGTATTTTGAATTAGCAGCCTGTGTGCTTATTGAGTTTAACATAAATGTGGATTCATTGTTTCCTACAGCTCAGTCTTTATTTACTCTTATTACTTACTGGGTTGGAGTACTCACATTACTCCCTGCACTTCGTGTGCAGATTCAGGTATTTCGGAACCCGGTAGCGGGTGTTGGTTGCTCAGACGCGGAGTCATCAGAGTTAGCAAGGTGGTTGCACGACGTTCGCAGCACCGCTTCCTTCTTCTCATTTTCATTTTTGTACTTAGTACATTTTTTACTGTTTTGTGTATTCAGACCTTGGTAGATGCTCATGACTAGTGACACTCTGATGTCGGGCTTTGTAATTATTCCGTATTTTTCTTTTAAATGTTCATTATGAGATTAACGGTTTATTAATGGTATAAAAACCACTTTTAATGGAAAATGGTTGACTTGGGAAATTGTATCGGCTGGCCTTGTCTTCACGAGAGGCGCCATCACGACCGGGTCCGGTTTGGGGTCGTGACAAAAAAGTCAAAATTTAAGATGGTTCTTATATTCTGTTGACGGAGCTTTTGCCGATGGAGTATTTGATTATTTTCCTTCTGATGATCTAAAGCGTACAAGAGATTTTGATGAAGTTGGCATAGAAGACTCGGTTGGTTAAGTTGGTTGGTTTGGACCAGTACTGCCTCAACTAAATTATTGGGCCAATAGACTACTTATGCTTTGGGCCTACAATTATATGTGTATCTGAGTAAAACGAAGAAATAAGAAGATAAGAGCTATTTTGTACAGAATATTCTAGATAGTCTGTTGAGTAGGATAATATACAGCATTCATTCTTTGTCTCATTTATACCGAGTCTGTTAGAGACCTTTGTCATTTTATTTAGTCCTTTGTGTATATAATAGGACACATACAGTGTAATACAAGACAGAGAAATACAGAAATCATAGGGGATTCTTCTGAAAAAATTCATTTATCTTCATGGTATCAGAGCAGGTGCTCTAAATATCCAGATCTGATTTCTCCATTTTGAGTCATCTATTTTCCTTTTCCAGCTCTTCTTTATTTGTTTCTCACTTACAATGACACACACTACAGAAACTCCTCTTCCAGCTAGTGGAACCTTAACCGGAAATGTCACTGTTGTAGTTTCAAATTTGGTTGATGGAGCTCATACTTACTTCCTCAACTCATCAGATTCACCTGGAATGAATCTCATCAATGTCAGTTTTGATGGAACAAGTTATGGAAATTGGAGGAGGGGTGTATTAATCTCTCTTTCTGCTAAGAACAAACTAGGTTTCAATAATGGAACTTGTCAAAAACCAATTGAAGACTCACCTTTGTTTGACCAGTGGAGAAGGTGCAATGACATGGTCATTGCTTGGCTATTGAACTCCTTGAGCAAAGACATAGCTGAGAGTGTGATTTACTCTCAGACTGTTGTTGAAGAACTTTGGGGTGAGTTGGAAGAAAGGTATGGGCAAGTTGATGGTGCAAAGCTTTTCCAACTACAGAGGGAACTCAACAATATTTCCCAGGGAACAAATGATATGGCAACTTACTTTACCAGACTCAAAAGGATTTGAGATCAAATAAAGGTCCTCAATACCTTCATGACTTGCTGTTGTGAATGCAAATATGAGGCTAACTCACAATCACAAGATGAATGAAGACCAAAAGTTCATTCAATTTTTAATGGGATTAAATGAGAGTTATTCTGGTGTGAGGGCAAACATACTCATGATGAAGCCCCTTCCCACTACTTCCCAAGCTTATTCAATCATCTTGCATGAAGAGTCACAAGGGGAGGGAAATCAGAACAGTAGCAATGAACCAAGGAGAAGTAATATGTTTTGCTCATACTGTAAGAAACCTGGACATCAAAAGGAAAAATGCTACAAACTTGTTGGTTATCCACAGTCTTTTAAGTTTACTAAGCCAGAGATAAACTATGGGAGTGCCCAAGTTAATATTGCAGCTATTGAGGAAAGTAAAGGACCAGGAAATGGAGTTGTTTCTGGTGATGTTATACCAAGTCTGATGAACTCACAAGGTTTTACTAAAGAGCAGTGTGAACAACTGATACATATGATTCAATTTGTCCAGGGTGGAGGTTCTAATGCTTCAGGTTCTGATGCTAATGCTAGTGCCAACTTTGTGAGTAAATGTTATGCTTTTCACACCTTTATATCCTGTTTTACTGCCTTTTCAACATCTAAGTTTTGGATAATAGATTCTGGTGCCTCTCAACATATGACTCATGATAAAGCTCTCTTAAACAACTTTAAGGAACTTTCTGTACCCATTCAAGTTACTCTACCAAATTCTTACAGAGTTAAAGTCACTAGTTTAGGGAGTGTAGCTTTATCACCTGATCTTGAGCTACAAAATGTTCTTTATGTTCCCAGTTTCAAGCATAAACTCTTATCTGTTTACCAATTATGTAAGCAGCTTAATTGTGATGTATTTTTTACTAAAATCAAATGTTTTGTACATGCCCCTTCTCTGAATAGGCAAGTGGTATTTCGCGAAGCTATTGCTGGTCTCTATGTGCTGGAAGATGTTTCAACTCAGTCTAGGGTGTCAAATTCTGTTTCTGTTCCTCTTAAGTCTATGTCAAATTCTGTTTCTATTCCTGTTAAGTCTATGTTTTCATTCCCTAAAAATCATGTTAAGACTTGTAGTGCTGTTAATTCAGAGTCACCTGTTCAATCTTGTACTCCAGTTTCTGAATTTGTTCAAGCGTCTGTAAATGAATCTTTTCCATCTAATGAAAGTCCAAATATCAATGAAGTTGTAGTTTCTGATTCTATGAGTTCTAACAAACTTTGGCATTTAATATTGGGACATTTGCCTTATCATGCAATGAAGAATATAAAAAATATCTCTTTCATCTTCAGATAAGCAATCTTTTCCATGTGATATTTGCCCAATGGCAAGACAATCCAAGTTGCCTTTTCCAACAAGTTCAATTACTACCAAAGAATGTTTTGAGTTATTAGACATGGATACTTGGGGTCCTACAATGTTCCAACTTACAAGGGAGAAAGATATTTTCTCACAATTGCAGATGATTTTTCAAGGGCAACTTGGGCCTATCTGCTATCCACAAAGTCTAATGCTTTTCCCACTCTTATATCCTTTTTAACTCTTATAGAGAGGCAGTTTTCAGCTAAGTAAAAATTATTAGATCAGACAATGCGTATGAGTTAGGAAAAGGCTCAATTCCTTTAGATTTCTTTACTTCAAAAGGAATAATTCACCATACTTCTTGCATTTCCACCCCACAACAAAATGGGGTAGTTGAAAGAAAACATAAGTGTCGCGCCCCATTTTTCCTTCACCGGGGAAGTCCGGGTTTCGACATTCATGGGGGGAACAACTCTTTTCCTTTTGGGAATTGGGTGTTTGAAAGAGTCGCCACATAACGGATTAAGGTGTGTTGGGGCACCTAGAGAAATTAACTCATGTGACCAGTTTGCATTACTAGAGATTAGGGTAAGAGCTCGAAATAACCTCGAGGGGAAGGTGTTAGCTACCCCTCGCGGTCCACAACGGTAGGTCCCGGCCGAACTATGTGAATTAGTCAATTAACAAGTAAGCAGTCTCAGCACATATTTGCAAATAAAGGTAGTTTACACATTCTAAATACATATATGATCAAGGAGGTTTAGACAGTTTAAACACATATATGTAAAGGAAAAGAAGTTTAGAAAGTTTCAACACATGTGAATTGGGAAAGGGAAGTCCTAATATGATTTGCCTATAGGATCAATCTGTGCAATGCCAGATAATCCTCCTCAACTAGAGGGGCTACACGTGACATTAGCGCGCAGGTCATCATATCCTTTACTACCCATTACCCTCCCCTTAGTGGTTATAAGCGAGTTTAATTAATGAACTCTAAGAATGCTTTATCCATCCATTCCTAGCGGTCCCAGAGGAGTTTAGGACCTCTAGACTTAGGTAGTTCTAGACAATCCTAAGGTGTTTAAAAGGCAAAAGTCTAGGCGGGAACAAATAACACATAGGACTGTCAATTAAGGAAGCAGATAAAAGGCTCATATTTACCTCCACATATACATAGGCAAATAAGTAGCACGTCTCAAACAATTGATTTTAATGAAATTCAGAAAACCTAGGAACATGATATCTAGATGAACATTACAGAACAGAACATACAGCGTTTGTTTTAAGGGAAGTGGCAGAATCCTAACCAGTTTGCCTACTGGTTTTATAGCCTGTTAAGCCTGGACAATTTCACACATAAACAGAACCTGATTTCACAATCTAACGGCCTGAGGCTTGCCTAGGCGTGTATAGGCAGTCATAATCTAGGAACCACTTTAAACAATTTGAAGTCATTTTATCTCTATAGGCATGTTGATCTAAGTGATGAATATATAGTAGGTGATTTTATACTGATTCATACCAGAATATGGTACCTATGTGTGGGGTCTGTTTTAACCTACTTATGTTAGCGACATGTTTCAAAACAGATATACATGCAGTCCTAAAACAGGATCTCTAATGTACATGGAGAAGGTTATTTTTATTTTAAACAGTATTAGTAACCTAATGGCAGGATTTCTAAGTGATAGCGACTTATGCAGAATCAGAAGTGAAATGATGAACTATATAACATGTGATATGCAGAAGCAGTAAATATGATTGTCCTAAGTCAAGATATCTAATGCATGAATTTTGCATGATTTAATGCGAGTAAGCATAGCAATCCTAAATCATGATATCTAATGCGTCATACAAACCTAAAACATGATTTCTACAGCGACTCATCACAATGTAAAATCTAAAGCATGGTTTCCACCTAGTTTACCCCACAGAATCATATAGCTACCCTCCCTTTTTCACTAGTTACCCCAATATCTATTTACAAAGAGTTATTACAGACCAGGATTGCATAAATTACATAAATAAAATATAAATTAGACTATAGGGAGCCTGATGCAGGCCCAAAATAAACCTGGGAGTACTAGGCCTTCAGTGTAGGCTCAAATGCCAAGAACCTCATAGCCAATGAATGTCCAGGTGTGTCAGAGTTCCCTAGGGATCTCAAGGATCCCGGGCAGTGCTCACACCAAGACCAATTCTCAAATGGGGATTGATTATGTGCAGTACGGAAGGGCCAGCCCTGATATGCCAGAGTTCAGAGGGATCTCAAGGATCCCTAAGCAGTACACATACTAGAGGGGCAGAACTTAATAATCTAAGAGTAAAGTGAGAGTGCTTGACACAGTTTGAAAGATTTAGGGAAAACAGCATAAAGATGACTCTAAGAGTAAAAAGGTTTTCTGAAATAGAAACTAGTTTGGTAGTGAGAAAACAGTTTGAGAAGAGTACCAAAATATATTTTTTTTGAAAAAACAGCAAACAATCAATTGGTCATAAAACATCCAGATTCAGAAACACTCAATAAACAGATCTCACACAGGGATAAAGGGATTGGGGAGACATAAGAGTCATATTTGGGGGTACATGGATATGGTATAGAGGAAACATACAGACAACAACTGCATAAAACACTTAGGGTCTTAGAGACTTAGCAGGTTAGTCATGAATAGTAAACAGTTAAGACATAGATCACAGATGTAATATAGAAAGTAGGACATGTCTTGAACAGGATTAAATATACAGGCTGGGTCAATCACATACATCAAATAACCAACATGATCACACAGTTAGGGATTAAACAGATATTCACAAATAGGCTGGTTAAGTATCAGATAACTAGGTGAAGTGTAGACATGCTAATCATACATTGAACAGGACAGAATTTAGACATGCTAAGCAAAGAAGTAAACAGGAAGACAGGTTGAATTCATAGTCAATGAACTAGTGCAGGAATGAAACACATAGGGTTTAGGTTTCAAAAATTTAACTAGAGACATACCAGTTGAAGAAAAGAGTGCAGAATATAAAGCAGGTGTAGTTCCAATATCTAGCCTTGGCTTTCAGCCGGTTAGACAAAGAGTTATCACAAGTAGCAGAGAAAGAAAAAAGAGTTTGAGTGTGAGTGTGTGTTCTTTTAACTTGTGTTTGTGTGTTAAGAAGTTAAATAAGAGAGTTTATATAGTAGTTCAAGAGTAGAGCAAATAAGGTAAAGGAATCAATAGTCAGTAATTAAGGGATCACAGAATCAATCACACAAAGAGGTTCATCACAGTCTTCGCCTTAATTAAGGGCAATTAGCCAACGGTAATGACAGGAACTAATTAAGGCAAGAGGTTCAAATCATGCTAAATAAAGGAGTACAGAATCAGAGGTCTAATTAAGGAAAGGAGTTCAAATCAAACCAAATAAAGAACTTCGGAATAAAATAATTAGGGGTTTAATTAAGGGAAGAATCATGTAAAGGAATCAGTAAATAGAAACAGGCAAGACTTAGGAGTACAGATTCTTAACAGAGCAAATCAATCAACCAGATTAACAATAATTCTGGAAAGAATATATCGATTCCCATAAATAAAGTAGACTAAGTAAAACTTTATAAACATAGAGAAGTTAACTGGAAAATTGATTCAAAAACCCTAATAGAGATTAGTTAGGGAAAAAATCACAGAGCAAT